TGCTCGGGGAGCTCAGCAGAGCACACAGTCCCGCTTGGGTCGCCTCCGGCGCTGGGTCCTCCGCACGGTGCTGAGTGCGGCCTTGCAAGCTGCCACGAAGATGGCCGAGATGTTCTCCTGGTACTTGGCTGAGCACTCGAAGTAGAATGCTGCGTGGACCAGCCGGGCCATGGCCTCCCCCTGCACGGGGTGGAGGGGGCTGTGAGTCCCCCGCTGGCCTGGCCACCCTCCTGGGGGGAACCCCAGCTCTCCTGCGGGGTGCCCCACAAGGGCTCCTCAGCATGGGGCTGGGGGTCTCACCTGCTGGAAGGTGATGGGCTCCAGGCGGTCCTCATGGAGCCTATGCAGCACGGCCCGGTCCTTCCGCAGGTCGGTCTTGCAGCCCACCAGCACCACGGGGACACCCTTGCAGAAGTGGTTCACCTCCGGGCACCACTGCATGGGGCAGGAGAGGGGAAGCTGGATGTGGCTGGCATGGCACCATGGGGAAGGTGATGTGGGCCACCCCAGGCCCAAAAGGGAGGTGGCAGCCCCAGCTTGGTGCCACCTTCATAGAACCATGGAAGGGTTGAGGTGGGAAGGGACCTCTGGAGATCATCTAGCCCAATGCGCCTGCTCAAGCAGGGTCACCTAGAGCACGTTGCCCAGGATCCTTCGCAGATGGCTTTTGAACATCTCTAAGGATGGAGACAGCACAACCTCTCTGCGCAACCTGTTCCAGGGGTCGGTCGCCCTCACAGGAAAGAAGTTTTTCCTTCTATTCCCCTTTCCTCAGGGAGGACATGTGGGGCAGGAGCCAGTCCCCACCCTGGTGGTGGTGTTACCTTCGTTAGGATGTTGTCATAGCTGCTGGGGTTAGTGACATCAAAGCACATGAGGATAACATTGGCATCCGAGTAAGACAGTGGGCGAAGCCTGTCATAATCTTCCTGTCCTGCCAGGCAGAGCAGCACACCATTAAATACCAGTTCCCTACTGGACTGGGTCCCCATCCCAACCTGCATTTATTGGTCCAACCCAGCCTGAGGACCATGTCCTGTCCCTCCACCTTGGAGGGGGGTCCAGGGATGGACAGGGCAACTCTGTTTCCCCACAGTCCACACGGTGACGTCCTCTGGGGACGGGAGACTGGCCAGCTGTGGGTCAAAGCCCAGTCTCTTGTGGATCTGTACGTGAGGAGACAGAGCTCCCACAGCATGCAGTGTCATGTCTGTGGGACACCCCAAGTCCCAGAGGTGGCCTGGGGCTGGGGGACCATCCGGTGCCCCTGCTGGGCATGACTGCCTGCCCTATCCCCTCCTGTCCCCTCCTGTCCCACCTGCCGTGTCCCAGAGGTGGATCTTCACAGGCTTGCTGCCAACCTGGAAGGAGGCTGTGTACTTCTCGAACACTGTGGGGACGTAGACCTGGCAGGGCATGGGCGAGTGTGAGATGGTCCCAGGGAGCCGGAGAGCTCGGGCGCGCAAAGGGTGTCCTCGAAGAGGTGCCAGGTTGCTCCCATGCCTCCAGGACGGACACCCCGTGCTGGCCCCCGGGCATCAGAGAGCACGAGCGGCCTCCGACCCGAGCAAATGCCGGCCATCACCCTCTGGCACCTGCTGCCCAGCTGCGGTGGGTGCTTACCACCTGGCCAGGGCTGCCATCAGCCCCACAGCAGGAGCCCTCTGCTCAGCCCCCAGCAGGGCCACCACTGGCCTAGGGCCTCCCCAAGCCGGGGGTGGGGACTCCCCCACCTCCCTGCATCCCACTGCTCTTCCTCAGGCTGCAAGTGGAGCCTCTGCTGGCG